AAAAGGAAAAGTAGAAATTATTATTGAAAAATATAAAGAAAAAAATAAAAATGATCAATTATTCTATTTCTTTTTCTTAGAATAAATTTAATCAAAATTTTTTATTAATAGTTTTACTTAATATTACTTAATAATTCTTGTTTGGTGAGAAGAAAAACTTTTAAAAAAAATTACACATATTGAAATATGAAATGAAATTTAAATTGTCAAAGTAATTATTAACTAATTACATTTGGTTAGTTTTTTTTGCTTGATTGCCTCCATATTCTTTTAAGCAAATGTAATGAATAAACTGTTGCATTACCTCCCATTTTATATAAGTTGAAAAATGCTAAATAACATATAAACGTTATTATAAAAGAGAAAACATGCATTTTGGGAAGTAAAAATTACAAAAATATAACTTTTGCAACGAAATATATGCAAGTATTCATGACAATTTGTTTTATTAACAATTATTAACAATTATTTAAATTATTCTCGATAAATTGAAATTTAATCTATGCAAAATTTCTCCTTGTGTTTTCAATTTCGACTAATTCTTTAAATTCAATTTCAATTAATAATTTAAAAATTAATACTAGCAATATTTCTTATTTATGACAAATTACAATTAATCCTGACAAATTAAAAATAAATAAAAGGTTTTTAATTTAACTTTTTTTTAAATTTTCAAGCAAAAAATTTCATTTCCTCTCTAAAATTTACAATAACTGGAAAAATTGTGAATAACCTTTCTAAAGTCATGCACAAACACTGCTGGACGATTTGAACCAAATCGTGGCACACTAATCCTTTCATAATACTGCAAAACAATTCATTTTGTTAATTACCCCGGAAAATTCCGGAAAATTAGTCGGTATTTCTGATAAAAAAATGGCACAAAAAGATCTTTAATGAATGTTATTAATCATTTCTCGATAATTTATCTTTGCAAGTAAAATAATAATTTCACTCATAAATGAATGACATTTAAACCATACAGATATCTTCGAGGATGATTGTTTTCCAAATTATTTCATCAAATAAGTAATTCAAATTATTTATATAAATAAAGAATTCAGTTATTTGAAAGAATTCAATTATTTGTCAGTTCATTTGAATTACATGAAAATCTCTGCTTTGATACTGATCATATATAAATAAACATAATCCAATGATACGAGATATTTATGAAAATGTCATTATCTTTTAAATTATTTGATTGTATATTTTTTTTTAATTTTCAAATTATTTTTTTGAATAACAAAAAAAAAACATTTTTATTTATCAGATTATTTCGTTTAAATAAATGAAAAGTTTTAAATAATTTAAACAAATAAAATTTTTATGCTTCAAATTATTTCCATCGCAAAAAATTCTTTTTTTTTTCTTAATGAAGCAAACATTATTTGTTCCTTTATTCAGTCGCAAAAATTGATGAGTGAAATGAAAAAAAAAAGAAGGAAAAAACGGAAAGGAAAGGAAAGGAACGGAAAGAAAAGGAAATAAAAGGCTTTAAAAACGGATAAAATTAGCCATTTTACATAATAAAAGCAACGAATAGGAAAATTCAATTTAAAATGCATCAAAATGTATTTGCCTTTCCACCAATTCTGCAATATTTGAAGGTCATATGATGGAGTAATTGCTTGTCAACAGAAAAGAAAAATAAATAAGAGAAGGAAAAAAAGTGAAACTTTTCGATAGATAAAAAAAAAATCAATGAAATGATAAAAAATAATGGGACAATTGTTTTTTTTTTTAAATGGAATACTTTAGAATCATTTGGTTTTGAAAAACCATTGAGAAATAGTACAAAGCGAGATAAAACTTTTTTGGAAAATAATTGGATAATTACTAATTTTTGTTGATAATATTAAAGCAAAATTTTAGAAAGTTATAAAAAAAGAATGATTTCCAAAACAATTAGTAAAATTTTGAAAGTTGCATGATTTTGGCTAAAAAATTGCTACGTAATTTGCTAGGGAAAAATGAAAAACGATATAAAATAAAAACAAATTAAACTATTTTAAATTTGAAATTATCGAAAAACTTTGAAAAAAAAAATCCAAATTCTTTTCATTGCTGTAATTTTACAGAATGGGAGAAAAAAAAAGACGTATTTATTAATGCATACATTTCATGAGAAATAATATAATCAAAAACATAATCAATATAATTAATAGAGATAAATTCTTCTATAAATGAAATATCAAAAGTAAGCTTCGAGCTTAATAATAAGTTAATAGTTTAGTGGAAAAAATCTTCAAATAAATTAAGCTTATATAAATATACTCAGTATTTTTTCTTACTTCATCTGGATTAATTTCTACACTTTCTTCCATGTGTTCATTTCGACCACGTTGAATGAATGTCGTTCCGCACCAACCGTAATATGTTGGACGACGATGAAATTGACGATAGAAAAATGTACCAGCCATAAATGAAGCTACCAGTAACCAAAGTAGTAAAAATATCATGCATAAACTTGTAAATTTTTTATACTGTCGTATTCGGGCTAATGTTCCGGTTTCATCACGTTGATAAACGGTCGAATCAACACAAACTGTTGCAGATTCTTTTGATCGCAATGTTTTCGTCACTTCAGGTGCCTTTTTTACTTTTGTAAATATCGTCATTTTTGTCTAAAAAAGTAATTAAGAAGCTAGGAAAAAATCGAAATTAATCAATCAATTAATCATTTATTTTCATCTACAACATTATCATGCAATGAATAAGGTATTTAATGAAAGAAATCAATAATTCGTATCTTTTGTTATTATACAAATCTATATTGAGAATATTAATAGGAATGCAAAAAGTTAAAATAAGAAGGAAAAGAAAGTTGAATTGGAAAGTTTGATTGAAAATTTGAATATTCTCGAAGCATAAGCTATTATTGTGGACGAAGAAAATAATTGAGAATCTTTTTTTCTTCGACATTTTGTCTTCATCAATCAAACCATTTCAATTTTTGATGCATCTTTTTTGCATTGCTAACAATTGATATTTGAAATCCTTCCTATTTTATGCTCGAAAAATTTAGAAATGAAGTGTAATTTCATTCGAAAAACTAACGAACACTAGACAAAAAACGATTAAACGATAGCCGTAGTTATAAAACGGAAAGGATCTTTGTTGTATTACACTGTATTTGAAATAGTTTCAATCACATTATAATGAATGAATTTAAAAGCAATTCAAGTGACTGAATTAAAATTAATTAAGTAAAATGATTGCTCATTACTTTAAAACGAAATATATATATATATATATATAATGCAATGTCGCATTATCTATAAAATAATCAATTGAAAACAAATTGTAATTTAAATTCACCAAATTTCATTGGTGCGACATTTTAATTTATCGTTTTTTTTTTGTTTCGTCATCAAAAAATTTACTAAGCTATTAGTGAAATCGAAAAGTATAAAACATCCTAATGAAATATATTACAAAACAATTCCTTGTTTCGTTTTTTTTAATATTATTATTCATTCATTAAATTGTATTGTTTTCAATTTGTAACTGAATGTAAAACTTTTTCCCACTTGGCTTACACATTTATATATTGAAATTTAAAATTGATATTTTGAAAAAAAAGTTTTTTTCTCGAACTTTAGCATTCACAAAACAATTCCAATGTATATCCCTGCAAAATTGAAAAATATCCTGAGGAATTATATGCCAATTTTAGATCAGGAAATTATTTATAAAAAAAAAGCTAATCCAATATTTCAAAATCAATTTGCCATTTGCAAATAAATTATTTATTATTTTGGATTAACAAAATGTATTTGCATTGCTTTCATAGATGTATGCAAAAAAAAGAATATTTATTGTTAGATTATTAATTGAAATCGATTTAGCATTATTTTGTCTTATTTTTCTTTTCAGAATTTAGACTAAAATGGAAATAGATTTGAATTTTTTTTTTACCAATGAATATTTGAATCGTTAAAGTATTTCGTATTTCGTAATGAAATACATGAATTAGGGCAAGGATTAAAATCAATTTTGTAAAGCAAGTGCTACATTTTTTTTTTTTGTTTTATAACATAAACAAAGAGAAAGAAGCATTGAATTCTATTTAAAATTCTAATTTAAAGATGATAGTGTGATAACAGGCGATAATGATGTGATAACAACAATTATGATTTTGATAATGATTAATTGCCTTCTAATACAATTATAAGTAATTATTGGAAATCAAATAAAAATGATCGCACTGCACTGGTAAGTATGGATAAATTTACATTTCACACTTTGTTTCATATAATCTTATTGATCCTTAATCTCATACAGTTAAACAGCGAATAAATTAGCAATAACTAATCAATTAAAAGAAATAATAATGAATGGAAATGAAAACTCCAAATATTGAAATATTTCGAAGGAAACAAAAAAAACTATTTTTTAAAATTATTATTTGATGAAAACTACCACAAACCGCTTGTTGTAAGCATAATGATTGAGCAAAACAATAAAAAATGAGTAATGAATTGAAGCATTTCATCTTATTAATAATTTTATCAGCTAATAAATACTATCAAAGCTTATCAGCTAACTATCTTGACGATTAGTTGTCTTTTTTTAGCTATATCATTTAATGCATAATCAAAAATATTTTTTTCGAATTTTTTTATTTAAATTGAGATGTCATAAAATTGCTTAACTTTTCCGCTAAATTTAAAGATAAAAGCATGAAAAAGAGGGATAAGAAGGAATGAAGTTACTGGAAAAACGGGAGTTCGGGAGGATATGGAAGAGGAGGAGGAAGAGGAGGAGGAGGAGGAAGAGGGTGGAAGGAAAATATTACCATCATCGCTACTATTCCTTCTACCACAAATAGGATGCTTGAAGAAGGCTTTTAGTACAATGCATAAATCGAATTTGCTTTCTCGTCTCTCTCTCTCTCTCTCTCTCCCTCATCTCTTTCATCCTTTTCTTCTATCGAGCATTTTCCATTTGGAAGGTTAGATGATAGGAAGTTGATGCTTAAAACTAAATGAAGCATATATTTCAGTCCTGTAAACAGCCTAAGCGAAACAAGAAGCCTAAGCTAAGCAAATCTATCATCAAACAATAAACAGCAAAACATCAGTATTAGAGTTATAGTTTTACTGGACAAAATCCATTATATATGTACATGTGAATATACTTGTTTGATATTTACGCATATACGTCAATATATGCATACGTAAACGTGAGTGTGTTATGTATGCAAAGACACGCGTAAAATAGCTACCATACGCATTCATTTCTGCAAATACACATATAATATAAAATAAACTAATGATTTCATTTTTTTCTTTTAATGTTAACTCTGTAATCGTGACTTTTTCTTCCTTTAATCTTATCATCTTATCAAGTTTAATCTTGTCAAGTTTTACTCAATGATATATACATATAATTTTTCAAGAAATCTTATTTCATCATGCGCTATTTGCATGATATCATTTTGAACTCTTTTTACATATATGACAAATAGGAAATGTAAAATTTGGAAAACTATCCAACGATAGAATTTGAAATGTTAGATTTAAATTAATACGATGATAAATTTGTTGCTTTGCTATTATTTGAATAAGAAATTGAAGATAAGAAAGAAAAGTTTTAGTACAACTTATATACAAATATATAATCAAATTGATATCTTTGTTAGAAAAAAAGAAATGAAGATTTTTAGATGAGAAAAATTTGCAAACAAATATAACAGATGTTTATGAAATCAATAGAAAAATTATTTTTTCCTTTTTCTTTTTGGTACTATCGCTTTTCCGTTTTTCTTTCTTTTTTTGCTAGTTTAACAATATTTTTAGCTTATTGTATTATAAATTTGCATCATTAATATTAGCATCTGTCCCATAATTTTACAAAATTTTTAACCTAAAAACTGTCGCTACAAATTTATTCATTTGGTAAATTATCAATGTAAAAGTATAAATATTAATAATTGAATTAACGATTTATGAAATCAAGAGTATTGACCGATAAATTATGCCGATTTGCTATAAATCTTTGAGAATATGCCAAAAAATCAATTGAAAGTTTTTAATAATATTAATTAATAATTTGATGCAAACGTTTGATTGATGAGAATTACTTCCATATGCTCAAACTAAATTAAAATATTAAGGAAAAGAGCGTTATAAAATATAATTTACATGAAATAAATCGAAAAAGTCCCTAATCGGCTATAAAACAACAAAAATTTTTTGAAAATAAATTTTTTGTTTTTTTTTTCTTTTCTTTCTCTCGGCTACGAGATTTTTACATAATTTTCTTTCTTGAAAATTTATTTCTAAAAGCATTCATTTAATTTTTTTTCGTTTTTCAGGCTAACAAATTAGCTGTCCTTTATAGCTTTTCATTTTGTAGAAAAGAGAATGAGATGAAATGCAATTTTAATTGCAATACCATTGTGTATTACTTTGAAATGAATTCTTTAATTAAATTGATTTAATCTATATACAATAGGTATTTCTGATACGATAATACGATAAAAATATTGCAAATAAATCAGCAACGGTAAAAATATTACAAATGGATGGATATTTTATCGAGAAAAAATGAAAACAATAAATTATATTTTAGTTGTATTTTAAAATGAAACAATAAAAAATTAAATATTGTGTATTAATTTTATTTAGAAATCATAAAGCACCTAACCATACATCATTTCAAAAAAAAAAACAATTTAATATTCGAAAAAAATTCCAAAAAATATTCGAAAAAATTCAAATTTTGCAGAATTAACATTTCAAATTAGGCGTGTATTTTGTTCCATTGACAGATAGCTTGACCTGACATGGTATATTTGAATTTTACAATAACTAAATTGACAGTTTTAGTACGTCCAAATTATTATTAATGCATGTCGTTTATCACGAGAACTGATTATTTCACATCATTATAAAAACTATCATCAATGGTTTGTGAATGGTTGTATTTTATTTGATTTGCAATTGAACTTTGAACTGTACGAACACAATTAAAAATCAAGAATTATATTTGTCAAGAAGTTATTTAACTTTTTTTTTTTGACAATTCATCCCTTTCCATTCTCTCTACTTTGCTTTCTCCCGGGACTTGAAGTTAGTCTAATTATCAAAAATATTCGAAATTTGTACAATTGAAATAAATTATTAATTTAAATTAATTTAGAAAGTACTTGCTCACATATACGCTTTCATTTTTTTATTTTTATTTTTGAACAATCTTTCAATGAATTATTATTGAAAACATGCGCTCCACGGGAAAATTATTATCGAATTCCTTTAATAATATTTCGCTGATAATATATTCATTCCGGTACTAACCAATCATTTGTGCACATATATTGTGACAAATCATACATAATTCTTGAAAATAAGCAGCGATAAGGCTAATTCAAATCGAATAAATATTCCAATCAAAAAAAAAGAAAAAATAAAATAAAATTTTCAGCATCTAAATGATATAAAAGCTTTTAATATTAATCAAAAACCTAAAAATTATTGAAATTAATATCCCTTCTCCCATAACATTTCTTCAAAATTTCAACCAAAGATTTCTTCCATTTATCTTATCATTATCATCATCATCATTATCATCGTTATCATCGCTACTATCACTATCAAATATCATCAAATTTTTGATGTTATCACATACTAATTTCATCCTTCATATCCCATACATGAACACTAATTCTTCATTCTTATTTCAAATTGTTATTATTAGCATTATGCTATCGTTATCGTATCATTATCACTATCCAACAATGAGTTATTGTAATTGAAACACTCAAAAATGATATTTTCCTATCAATTATAATTTTTAGAGAAACTCAATTCAATTTTAACCCAAATTCTTACGAAATCTAAACATCTTTCTCGGAATAGCGCATCCATCCGTCCATCCGTCCATCCGTCCATTTTATTCATTTTTCTCTCTCTTTCATCTCTTCAAACATCAATAAAATCGATGAATTCATTATTCTCTCTCTCTCTCTCTCTCTCTCTCTCTCTCTCTCTCTCTCTCTCTCTCTCTCTCTCTCTCTCTCTCTTTCCGCCCCTCTTTCTCGGTTATTGACTAACAATATCATTTTCTATTCAATATGTTGTCTCACATCGATGTTTCTCACTGAAATAAAAGAAAAGTGGAAAAAATAAAAAATTAATTTTTCTTTCCTCTAATTTTATATTTGATGTTTCATTTTTTTTTCTATTGATAGTAATTTAATCGATTATCAGCAATTCATTTTTTTTCCGATTTCTTAAAGTTAAAACATAGAATGATAGATTTTGTTAAAATCGAATAAAAAAAAAATATAAAATGTTCATTTCTACCACAATCGTCATATTTCTGGAAATTTTTAAAAGTATAATTTGTTCATAAATTTCAATTTTATTTTATTTTTCTTTTTTGAAAGCCAAACATTATAATATTTTCTTATTATTAACCAGAAAAAAAAAAACAATTTAATTACTTAGAAGAAAAGACGAATTTTTTTTCACCACTTAAATGTGCATTTCGGGTCAGTCAGAACAGATAAGAGTATGAGAGAGGAAGAGAAAAAGAGAAATGAATTATTATCAAATCTTTTTTTGGTGAAATTTCATCGTTAAATTAATGCGCTTTCGTGAATTTCATTGACAAATTAGTCAATTTTTTGATGATTTCGTTTAGTGAAAATTTTGAATATTTGCTATTAATTATCGTTATGATAAGATAATGAATAATTCATTGCTGAGATAATACAATCGTGAATTGTTTGAAAGATAATAGCAATTTATAGCGTACTTTTTAAAGCATAACATTTAAATTTGCACTGTTAGAATTAATTTGATTAAACTTTTTAATTGTTGAGATTTGAAAAAAAAATTTCGGTAACATGATTTTGATATTATTGTTTTTAGCTTTTTCTTTCTTTTTTTCGAAAAGTTACTAAAAAAGAATGGAAATTTTAGAATTTCAAGAAAGAGTGTATTTATAAATAGAAATTGAAAAGTATTTGCAAAAACTTCCATTTAGTTTTCTTTTTTAATACTTTAAATTAATCGATGTTTATGCCTCCTTTGACACTTTCCTTATCGTTATTTTTCATTTTTAGCATTACTCTGCGAAAAAAAATAAAAATTTTTTTTTGCACAATATCGATTTTGGCTCAAAATTTTGCGAAAACTTTTTTTCCTTTCTTTTCTTTATTGCTTTATTTTTTTTTTTTGAAAGCTAAATTAATATTATGCAAAATATTGTAGTTGTTTAAAATTAGAAAAAACTTGAAAATAGAATATAACAAATTTAGATATATATATTATTTATTGCGATTCGTAAGCTATAATAATTATAATTAGTAATGGTTAATTGAAGTTTTTCGTTGTTACTTTTCGCTTATTTGTTATAAAATCATTCCAGATTAATTAAACCTCATTCATTTTTATTCTTCCGATAGCGCATATATTCGGTGATATTTCATTTTCATCTAAATTATCCCATATTTTCATTTGATATATTTATAGGTTTTTATAATGTTATTGAGATGCTTTTGCTTCATTCATTCTCCTTTCCCAATTAGCAGTTTCTTTCCTGCGCTCCAAATTACATTTTTGAAGTTTAAAAACAAAAGATTCGAAAAATCAGCAATTAACAAATGAATGATTATTAGGGAAATAAAAAGATCAATTGTAAAAAATATTCAAAAGAAGAATAAAGTTTATTTTTTAAATAAAATAAGCGTAAATTTAACAATTAATAAATAATTTATGATTTGTATTTATAATTGTATAACTGTAATGTAGCATTTAGCATGTATTTAATCAATCAAAGAATTATTCTGATTTTTTGTTTACTCTCTTATCTATTTTTTTCCAACTTCAAATTTCCAAAATGTATTTTTCAAAACTTCTTTCTCTTTCGCCTTGATCTGCTTATGACATCATGAAATAACCGACAAGAAAATAATATACAGGAAAAATATTTAAAATGAAATTCTGTATTTTTGCAAATTCTTTTTCTTTGTTCAATTTATTGATTGTATCATTGTTGCTGATAATTTTGATTTGCTTAAACGATAAATTCATTACGCATTGTATTTTTTCTTCTTTTGCAATTCTAAATGATTGTTATGAATAGAATAGGCGAATATAAAGGAAGAAAAATCGATTTAATTGTTTGAGAAAGAGTAAACAAATAAGTAAAAAGTAAGCAAAAAGCCGGAATAATCCTTTGCCTGATTAAATGCATGCTAAATGTTACATTACAGTTATGTAATTGTAAATGAAATCACCAATTATTTAGCAATTGCTAAACTTACGTCTATTTTATATTTATTTTTTTCCACTATTTAATTAATTGTATAAAATTTTTTTTCTTTCGCTATATGATTTTATTCCATTATGTATTTTCAATTCTTTTATCAGTTACATATCGTTGAGAAATGAAATGAAAAGTTGAATTTTATAAATTATTAATTTATATTTATTTGCCTAACTTGATCTATTATTTAACTCGTTATTTTTAAAAACACAAGTAATATTATTATTCTTTCCTTCTTTCTTTCTCTCTCTCTCTCTCTCGCCTTCTCTCTCCCTATCTCCCCTGTTTACTTCATTTCTTATTCATATATTTTAGCTGTCAAATAAATATGTATTATCCAAATTCAATGTCCTCAGAAAATTTCATAGCTAAAAATAATATTTTGTTCCTTTTTTCTTTTGTCTATTGATTGAATTACATAACTTTTTTGAGAATTTAAATAAGAATAAAAAAATATCAGTGAATATTTGAGAAAGAAACAAAAAATGGGTAAATAATGTTAAAATAATGTTCTGTTGATTAATTAGAAAATTTTTCTTTTTTAATATTCGTTTTTTAAAAGGCTTTCATTGATTTAAAAAAAAAAAAAAACGATTTGGAAAGACTCTGTAATTAATGCTGACGAATGAAACTTTAAATCAATATTTCATCCATTCTTAATAAATCTACTCACCTTTGCAATCTTTCAGTTGAGAATTCTTCAGGCAATAAAATATTTTGATATAAATCATCATTTGTTAATGAAATTTGCATCCATCCAATAATTCCAATATACCTATTAATATATTTGCATTTTAATTTAGTTATTTAACCCAATGGAATATTTTTTATTTTTGCAAACTAAAGTATTAAACATTCGTTACTTGTTGTTATTGATAAATATAAGTGATATTACGATGTTAACACTGACTGATACTGCGATACTAACATCTAATTGATACTACGATATTATTATCTAACTGTTATTACAGTATCAATAACTAATTGTTATTACAATATTAATACCTAATTGATATTACAGTATTAATATCTAGTTGATATTACGATATTAATGTCTAATTTATATTACGGTGTTAATATCTAATTGATACTACGATGCTAACATCTAATTGATATATAATACTAACATCTAACTGATATTAATATGTTCCAATATGATATCTCATGTAGCATACGATGATATCGTTTAGTTGACAATATTCTTTAACACTGAAATCATTTCGTTCTAAAAGCGACAATATAAACGGTGCAATTAATTAGAGATAGTAAATTTCGTTGAATGTACTACATGATTTGTCGATAAATGCTACCGAAATATCTGTAATGATCAAATTTACTGCTCGTGTATTTTCATTTGCGCGAATAATAAATACCATATAAATGTTGTTTTTTTTTTTTTTTATTTTCATGTTTGTTAATTAATTTGGTGCCCCTAAAATATCTTTTAGCATCATATTTGTTAGATTTAAAATAATATTCATTTAATCTTATTAATCTTCTATTATTTATTATACAATAAAAATTGCCTTTACCTTACATATCATCTCATGTTTGATATTTTGACAATATCATTTATTGCTTTAATTAATCATTCTTAAGATGGGTGTTTTCCGTGTGACAATATATGGCATTATGGCAGGTGTATTCTTGTATGCACTTGGCTATGATATCCTTTACATGCCACGGATTGGACATAGCTGGTGGATTTATAAACTTGTCATGCTAACAATGGCTAACTTGGTTAGTTTTTATTACAATTTTGCTTTTTAAAAATTGAAAAAGGAAATCTTAAATTAAAATGTTTATTTTTAATGAAGATAGAAATAACTAAATATATTGAGCAAAAAATCGATCTGTTTGAATAAAAAAAAAAAGAAAAAAAACTTAGATTTCATAATTTCTTCAAATATCCTAAATCGACACGTATCTCTTGTTACACGTTAATCTTTTTCGTTTATTTCTTGATAAAATTCATATCACTTAACAGATATTCACTTAACTTTAACTTTCCCTGAAAAAATGGATTAAAAAGTAAAATAATACTTAATTTTTCTCTTTCATGGTGTTATGAACTATTTGAAATATTTAAAAACGCGTTTGTTTGTATTGAAAGTAACAAATCTAATATGAAATAGAATTTTTTTCCTTTTCAAAATGCGGGACCCGAACATATTTTTTAGACTTTCAAAATTTTATCGATAACAAGAGATTAAATTAATTGCACTGTTAATTAAAGCCATATTTTTAAAGAGCAAATATTTTACCATGTTTGCTGATGTAAAATTTTGAAAAATTTTTTTTAAAAAAACGAAAAAATTTTATAGCTTTATGAAATTTATAACACTATTTTATATTCATCAGTAGTTTATCCGTTTGTAATGGACAAAAAAAGATTTACCAAATGTCAAAATTTCAAAAAATCATCCAGAATTATTATTGATCATATAAATTTCAGATTCGTGTAGTTATTATTCATTCCGGTTTCAATATTTTAATTGGTTTATCTTTTTTTTTTTTTTGAATTATCTTTGGTATCAAATTTTTCTTGTTTTGCTGTTTAATCACACTTATCATGCAAGATTTATATTATGGATGAAATTAAATTAATGTTAAATTTTTCAAATATTGGATTAAATTTAAATTTCAGGTTTTACAAACAATATACTATGCAATATGTTTTGTTTGTGCACTGATGGATACATTACGTGAAACAACGGATCATGGACCACATACAAAACATCCAACGACACCAAGTTATTGGCGAAATTCAAAACTTCATCGAATTTCCGATTTCATGTATTTCACTAGCGTCCTACCTGTTGGTGCTGTATGTTTCAATTTATTAATTTTCGAAAGATTTTAAAAACTATACAATATCAGATCAATCATATTGGAAAAAAATCTATTCCAATCCTATTATTTTTCTTTTCCGCTCGTTTTACTTATCATTTAAGCGATAAAACTAAAATTATGAAAGAATTACATGAAGCGAAAAAAGAAAACAAGAATGGATACTATTTTGTTTGCTCATATTCGATCGATTAACTTTAACATTAAACAATTTGAAGCAAAATTGAACAAAACTATCAGAAATGATTTTATTCAATTTAATAATTTCATTAAAGTTTCAATTAAAAAACATTAATTTTTCAGGTGACCTGTTTACTGTTTTGGTCTTTATATGTTGTGGAACCAACATTGGTGATGCCAAAATGGGTGGAAGAGTTAATTCCACCTTTTCTCAATCATATTACTCATACCGCACCACTACCGTTCATTCTGGTTGATACACTTTTGACTTGTCATCGAGCACCTTCACGTAAAACCGGTACCATCATCATCCTTGCACTCGTAATCTTCTATTTTTGCATGTGAGTTTTTTTTTTTTTTTTGTTAAATTATTTGTTAAGAATTTTCAACATTCATTTTTTATTTTTACTTTTTGTAGTGATGAATGAATTTCTTCCATAAAATAAAATCTTTAAAAAAAATTAGAATTCATGATAAAATTAAAAATATTCATTAAAAGCTTTATTAAATAAGTTAAGAAGTTACTGCATAGAATTAACCATGAAAAAATTCATCTTAATGAACGGTGAAAAAATTAATATATGCTTATTTATGGTTATCTCTAACTTTTCATTCGTATTATTCTTTTTGATTACAATACCACTCTGTTATAGTTGAATTTAAAATAGTTTTTTTTAGTATATAATTCAAATTATACAATTATACAATTAATTATTTAATTCAAATTTTATACAATTGTACCAGTTCAAATATATAATTTAAATAAAGCCGGTACATCTAATTTCGAATGATTTGTTATTTTTCTTTTTTTTTCAGCATCTTTGGAGTGCGTTATTTTGATGGTTACTGGCTTTATCCGTTCATGGAATATTTATCACTGATAGCATTTATCATAGCGTTTTTTGTATCTTTCATCTTTTTATGGCTTGTATATTTATTTGGAGATACGATGAATGTTATGCTTTGGGGCAAGTCTATTCTATCTATCATTTTGTTTTCAATGCATTGAATTTAATTGAACTGACCCTGTGATATTTTCTATTTAAATAATTTCGAAAAATGCTATGAAATTAATGTCGAAAATATTCTCTAAATTTTTATCCTCCTTTTATCAAAATTTAATAAATTGTATTGTGGGAAAGAATAAGTAGAAACTTTTTAATTATCAAATATAAGATTTGATATATTTGATAATCAAAATGATAACTGCTTGAAATCACATTCATTCATTCATTCAGTCATTTTATTACATTATGGCCGAGTAATTCACAACAATTTCTTGGCTGATATCAAACTCTTGAAGATATCGTCTTTAGCAATGACCATTTGGCAACAATCTTTTTAACACTGATAGCTTTAATTAATAATAATGCTGAAGTGTTCGAAATATTTGCATGACATGATAGAAAGAATGTATGCTTATCATTACAAGTAGACATTGTCTATGTTGAGTTTCTTGAACATTAAATTGAATAAAACTAATAAATGATAAATTTTTATCAATAATCAATCAGTTGCTAAAAATATAAATAAAATTTTTCAGGTGGCGCAACACATTCCGAACCAGCAGAGAAAAAAAAATAGGAAAGTTCAATCAATCAATTTTGATTTTCTCCTCCAAATTTTATAACTAAAAATGTTCAGTATTCAATTTATGCTTTTTTTGTTTATCAAATTTTCTCACATAATTTCGTCTTATAGCAATTCCTTAGAGGTTTATTTGAGATTTTTTCTTTACAACATAATAAATTTTTATAAAACAGCAGAAAAATTTTTCGAGGAAAAAAGAAAGAATAGAAAAGTGCTTATTAAAAGCTATTCAAAAAATGAAAAATTCGAGTTTTCTTTTTTTTCAAATTTAAAGGATTAACAGTTGCCATATCAGAAAGAAGAAAAAAGGAGAATTTCGCAACATCAAAATTCCCCTTTTTTCTTCTTTCTTTCCCTCTATCTCATTTGAATCAATTATTTAAGCAAAAAAAATAAACCTTACGATAAAGTATAGCTTAAATTTTTTTTCCTAAATATCATTTTTGATAGCCAATAAATAAGTTTAATATTAAATCACAGAAAGAAATAACATTATATTCGTTTATGAATATTATAATTTTTAACAGAATTTTTATTTTTGTTTTATATTTCTGAAATTTTGTGCAATAGAAAAGCATCAAATGCTTACTGATTCTCTTTTTCACATTCAAATTAATGAAAATAGATAAAGATATCGAAAACGAAGGAAAAGTTTGGAATTGAATTATTTTTCAATTAATTCAGTCATTGCAAAAAAAGACTTCCAAATATTTATTGAATATTTTCTGAACTTCTTCATGCATTTTAGGGAATAAAAAAAGAAGTTCTTTTTTGATTGTGACTGTAAATTTTTTAAAACATATTTTATTTGAGTCGATAATAAAATTCTGGGAATGGAATTGTTTCCATTTTTAGCCTCATAATTTAGTTTTGAAATTTTCTTTAAAACACGACATTTTTGATAATATACGCTTTGAAAGAATTTGATTATGTAATAATTGAATAGTGATTGCAGAAATTACACCATTTGTTTCAAAAATTTTTTAAAGTTAAAATAAAAAAACAGATATCATCTTATTTGAAATTTGTTGAAGAATTGCAAAATTCTTTCTAACGAAATTTATTTCTAATGAATCTGGAAATAACAGGCATCTCCTATTTTATTACACTCTTTTTTTTCAATTATTAAATTATTGATTCTGAAATTTGAAATCAATTTAATTTTCTAAATCCAATACAAATATCAGTTTTTGAAAGTGATATAAGGCATTTATTTTATACATCATAAAATTATGCAAAATTCAACTCTGAAATTAACATTTTTTTCCTTTTTCCACATATTTACTAATCAATAAAACAAATTAATTGAAATCATTTGAAACTATCGTTCAGTCAGTATGCTGTTAGCTGAATAGTATTGATAGCATTTCGGAACATGATCTATAATAACGATTATTAGTTTATCCATTTGCTGATCAATCTAATCTTTATTATTTAACATAAGATAATCTCTTGCTGCGAAATTTGTTCCTATTAAAAATTTGCTATTAAATTTTAATCAATCTAAAGCTAATATTTCAATTATTTGTTTAGATATACATTATGATACTACGATGACAAATATTACGATATCACGTTTCATCTTCAATTATTTAAGTTGAATTTTGTGGGAAAAAAATTTTAATGCAAATTTTGAAAATATATATATATTATTAATTGTTGATTAATAAGAAAATATTCAAATTACATCAGTGTGACATAGCTAACATCGTCTTGTGAATCTATCTTTAGATTGATTCAATTCATTCGATATGCTAATTATAATATCCGTTTATACATATATTCAAATTTTATCATCCTCTAAATCATCTTCAACATCCGCCGTTGGTACCAACTTTTCCTTTCGTTGCTGCTCATATTCGCTTGGCTTAAGTTGTACAAATGATAATTCAAGATGGCTATCCACCTGAAATTGTAAATAATACCTTTTTTATTTAATTTTTCAAGCATTTCACACATTTTTTTTCTACTCCAAAAAAGCATCGTTTTGATGATAACCTGGAATATTTTACATAGCATTACATTACATCTATTTATAACATTTTTTGCTAAATTTTTTTTTACTTTTATGAATATGTTTCAAGCTTACAGCCGTTATATTTCAAAATAAAATTTTAATTCATCTTAAATTATAAAACGCCCAAAATTTGCATCATATTTGAAATATTTCATTAATATCTACTGTAATCAATTAATTAAAAATATCTAATATCTACAAAAAAAAAAAAATAATTGTATCAATTATGAAATGAAAAATGGTCGCCATTTTGATGGAAGAATCGAATTGCCATACATGAAGAAAAAAAAATTCAAAAATTTTTGATAGGGTAATAATTTTAATCAACAAACAATAACGACAGCAGCAAAATTGCAAAGATCTTCGTGATATCGTGCAGCTGAGAAGACAGTTATTAGTTTACGATTCGCAAAAAATGCATATCCAAATTCGACAACCTATAATAATAAGTAAGATGTAATTAAGCAATCGATGATATTAACGGCAGAAAATCTAATCTAAACATTTTCATTACAGTGATTGATAATTGTTTAAAACAAAGTTTTAATTATGTCGGGAAAAATTTTCCCATTTACAAATTTCTGAAATTGTTGAAATAAATTGCCTAACTTATTAATATGCAAATTACTTGATGTGCTCGAATAACCATATCAATGCCAAGTTGTTTGATCTTCTGATATACAGCATTTTCACCGAATACCCACGAAACACCTCGAATCTGATTCCTCTGAAAACCTTTTGCGCCCGTTTCCGGATCTGCCCAAAGCAAATCTTGCGCTAAACCTTTCACCATTCTTAGTGGCCTGGAAGAATATAATTCCAGAAAATATTCATATCGAATATAAATCATTTTTTGTATGTAATAGAATGTAAATTAACAGTGAGAAATTTTTCAGATATTTCGAAATTGTTTGAAAAAAAAAAGGAGAATTAACTAACAAATTATGATTAGATTCAATGAATACAGATCATCCATATCTCATAATCATTTCATAACCTTAATATTTTAGGGAGCTTTTTTATTGAGCATTTTCTAAACTCAATGAAATCCTGCGAAGAATTTGTAATTTAAATTTAAAGCAAATTTTTTAAACCTTTTAATATTTCTAATATCGTTTAAAGAATTTAATTCCGGTGACAATCCACCATGCATGCATAATATTTTGCCTGCAACAATTGCAGCTAATGGCATTTCGGCGAAAACTTCATTGAAATGATTGTATAAACCTTGCGCATCAGCCTGGATACGATAACGAGTCCTAATCTCCGCTGCGAAACCATATGTCCTGATTTTTGATGTAACTAATATATTCAATTATTGAACTACAATTTATCAAAAAATCATGGTACATAAAAGATTAACTTATGATTATTAAGAAAAAAAAATATCCTTGATCTCCTGTAAAAAATTCATAATTTCCACGAAAACTTATCGAACTGTTAAAATTACGATAGTATTTCAGTAGAAACATTTAAATTTGCATCCAAAATTCGATGTAAAATAAATTTCTTTTTCTTGAAAAACAAACTTATTAATATGAGATAATTCATGGTTGCCACGTAATAGAAAAACAAATTTCGGGAATTGTATTTTGCATGCCAGAAGAAGGACTATTACTTCTAATGGATGTCTGCCACGATCAACATAATCGCCCAAAAATAGATATCGCACTTTAAATGGTAAACCACATGACTAAATTATGCATCATTTTTAAACTTATTTACAAATTAATTTTAA